ACCTTTACGGCTTATAACTCTACCAAAGAGGTTCACCTTGCAGGATCAGGGGAGCACAGCAACACTATACTAAGCTGTACCGCAACAATTTCCCCCCTTTTTTTGTTTGACAACAATAAATTACACCTAACGTTGATGTTTAACTTTTAGATGTATTTAATCCTAAAACTCAAAGTATACCAAAAAAAGATACCAGCTTTGTAAACTTCCTAACATTCCTTTCTAGCACTAGCAAAAGAATTAAGAAGTTACAGTTTTCCAAACAGTTCTACAATGACAAAATAATCAAAACATGATTACTCTTTTACATGAACAAACCAGACTTTTCTTCAGTTCTAACCAGCTAATCTGTCTTTTTGGGTTCACATTATAATTGTGGCTTCCCTCTCTTATTCCCGATACTCCTGCATCACGCGGCCTACTCTTTAACAGGTTTCACACATTTCTAGATACACTGTGGATTTAAAACCAATGCTTGGAGGTCTTAACAATATTCTGTCTCATCAAATTATTTTCATCTCGTGTCAAAACACAGGGGAACTGTGGGAAAAGTGTGCAGAAGTTCTTTGAGCACAGATATCTAGAGGTTTGGTTACAAGTCACAAAAGCCCGGAACAAGCATTTCTTCTACAGCGATCTTTGCATTTAAAGGAACACCAGGAGATTAAATCTCCCTTTCCCCTAAAACTGTTGGTGGGGTGGTTTTTTGTTTTGGTTGGGTTTTTTTGTTTGTTTGGTTTGTTTGTTTTGGGTGTTTTTTTGGTAAACATTTTTAATCCTTGTAGGTCCCTTTATGTTATTTCCTCTAAACGTACTAAAGATTTTAAGAAATAAAGGGAATCCAAGGACAGATGATGAAAGTGATTAGAGGCTTAGAAAGACTTCCATATGAGGAGAGATTATTAAAAAGACTGCCTCGCTTATAAACAAGATGAATGCGAGGGACCATAAGAGAGACATGAAAAATGAGAAGAGACATTCCACAGAATGATTTTTCATCACTAGAAAGCAAGTAATTTCTGTATTTTTTTTTAACGTAAGCCTTTTTTGTGTGTGTGTGTGATTATGTAAGAATCAGTTCATCCACAAAACACTGATTCTATTGCTAGTCTCACTACGGCTGAAAGCAAAAGAAGATTGAAATTAAGATTCTCTATTTCTTAATAAATAAACCACAACTGTTCCAGGTAAGTTTGTTTTTTGTTTTTGTTTTTAAATAAAGGAAGAATTCTTACCAGTTCAAATATAAGTCTACCACTAATAAGAGAAAGTTCTGAATAGGCTCCAATGTGCAAGAAACTATGTAGTTTGGACTTCCTGCATCTCTCTCTCAAGCATCTGGTACTTGTTAAAAGCAGGACATATCACTGCATAGACTTCTGATGGGATGCAATAAAGGAACTCACATGTTTTAGTTGTACTAGAAAAGGATTTTTCTCCTTCAAAGCCATATGTATAAGTTTATAACGGTGATGAAACGTGGAGGATTGTTGCACTGTAAGCGGTAAGAGATCAAGAGTGAAGACCAATGCCCTGATCAGCAGCAAAAAAATTGTGTACACAGGTTTCTGAGGTCTAAATAGGACAATGTGGTGAGCATTCAGAGATGACAGCTTTAACAGAGCCTTGAAAGGCTGTCCTGACACAATGCTCTAGAAGCAAAAGTCAACACAATGAGGGATAAGTTAGCATAGCCAAGCTAGTTTGTGCATCAGGAATATTACTAGTGCAATTGCATAGACCTCTACATGGACTTACTAGCTAAGAAGCATGGTGTAGCCAGAATCTGAGCTCCTCTGGTCTTCCACAGTACTCACTTAAAAAACAAGTCCCTTAAGAAAGCACCATGACACCCTTTAGCTGTCCTGCAAGCTACATTCCAGCAAGAACAGTACTTGGTGCATGACAACTAAAAATTCAACCCTGCGTCCCAAATCTTGTCCTACTTCATGGCTTAGGTCCTGATTTTGAAAGATTTTGATTAGTTTTTGAAATGTTGCAGGAATTGACTAGTAGTGGATGTGAAGCACAGTGAAGCATAACATGACTGTAAATCTATACCCACCGAATAATACCAAAACTGTAAGGCACTGATACCATTAGGCTATGAGCAATAGTAGTTTTATGACCCACTCTGTGCTGCCATGCACAGCGTAGCTTGGCTCTCCTGTGATTCGTCCAAGGAAGAGAACAGGAATCCAGCCTCTCCCTCAAAATACTCGGCCTCCTTAGGCAACAATGACTCCCCCCATTTTAAGAATGACTCAGCTGGTCTTCTTTAAAGTGTTTTCTCTCTTTCAGGCACTGGGAACTTTACAAAAAATGTGACATATGGTTTATTGGAGAGTTGTTAGCAGAGCCCAGGATATCTTATACTTCAAATGGCCTCCAAGAAGAAGATATTGAAGAGACCTGTTGCCTTACACTGAAGGAGCTTCTTAGCTACAGCAGGAATTTGAAAATCCCTTTCCCCTCAGATTCTACCATTTACAAACTCAGAAGACTATATTCACAGTAAGTGGTTCTAGCACTTCTGCAAACTGAATTTGGTGATGCCTTCCTATCATATATACAGCTGCAATTTTGGAACAGTCTTCGTGCCTGTCCACAGAGAAGTCTACACTTTCTCATAAAAAAAAAAAAAACCCTTAGATGAGCTTGAAAGACACAGGCAGTAACCTACAGGGATGGAGAAGCCCTTCAAAACCTGCCCACCCAAAAACTGGACTCAGTAGCCTATGCTATACAGGCTATGAGATCCAACAACTATTTTGACACCTCTCTTTCCCCCAGGCTTTATTAAATGTATCTCACCCTACTTACTATACACTGTCCCTATCTTGCTGACAAAACCAACTCCAAGACTTTCTTCACACCAGCAAGTCCCCCTGGTTTGTCCAGGTTCTCTTGAGCATCCTCCCATCAGCTCTGTATTGCTGTGTTCATGCTCTGTGTTGCTTTTCTCCATGAATGTTTGAGAATGGCAGCTTTAACTCCAGCTGCTCTGATGCTTTTTATTCAGTCTCTAAAAGAAAAACAGCATCCTGCTTTCTTGCTTCTTTCCTACATAATACCATCAGTTGTTGCTGTTCCAGCTTCTGACCATTTCCATCCCCCCAGTAAGAGGAATGTTGAAGTTATCCAGGCAATTTACCCAGGAAAAATTCCTATTTGCCCAGAATAAGCACAAATAGATTTAATACAAGCTCTTACCATGATCTGGAACATACAACCTACTGCTACCACCTCTAGCAATTATATAAGTTCTGTGATACCTGACACAACTTGTAAAGTCCAAACCCTGGAGCAATGTAATTACACACAACTCTACAAACTCATTAGAGTTCTATTTCCAGTTCTCATGGTTGCAAGAAGGGAAGGAGAGGCTAATCCTGATGAAAAGAAACCCAAAATCAGATAAAAGCCCAATGCTTTCATAAAATTGTCTTAAGCATGGAGGTTTTTTTATTTTTCAATACATAAGTACAACGCACAACACAATGTTAGCCATGATACTTTATGCTTTTAAGTAGATCAGCTAGACTATAGAGCGGAGGCTTCAGGTTTAACTCTTTAGCATACCAAAAATCATCCTTGAAGGTATGCAACTTTCTTCCATAGCCACAGTAAGCTAGGTAGCGCATTATTCTTACAGCAAGAACAATGAAGAAAAATGACTTAGTTCAACTTGAAAAAAAAAAAAAAAAACAAACCCAAAGGAAATACATAAAATTTTTAACTGGGTTATGACTAGCACGTACACCCGGATTATGGTATGAAGAGCATTGTAGACCCCAGTAGTAAAGGTACAGTGTATAGGGTTACCTATTTTTAAAACATGCCATTATGCAGCAACAATCTGAAGCACATCATCTCCTTTCTAGCACTGTCAATTCATGGGCTGGAGAGATGGAAAGAATGGCTAACATGCAGTACGGGAAAAACAAAACAAAACAAAAACAACCCCAACAATCCTCTCCCCCCAAAAAACAGTCTTCCTTCACAAATAACTAATCCCTACACTTCAAACTGTAAAGCTCATTTATTGACATATGCAGGATCTCATCTTGGCACAGAAAATAGAATTTCTGCTGATATCCCAAGTCAGCTAGAGCAACCTTCTTTTTCTTCACATCTTTCTGCAGTGCACGGGAAGAAAGAGCTATTTATTTTACACCTGTTTGAGCTGAGCATCTAGGTAAGAATTTGAAATCTGTGCATAAACTAGAGAGCCAAATACCTTCATCAGCGTGACATCCACCACAAAGGCTACTAAATATATGAAAGGATCACAAGCATTGCCCATACATAGTTATCATACATCGTACAAACAAACCATCAAAATAGTAAGATCAAGAAAGATGAACTTGCCAGCAGACCACAAGAAAAACTATCCCATAACGCCATACTCATGGATATACAGTATATTCTTACTTTATCGCTAGCACACACAGACACACCTTTTCTGTCCGTCTCCTTCCCTGCCACAACCCTCTTGTAAGTAACTTCAGGAAGGGAACTGTAATCATTCTCTGCTGCTAGATACAATCACCCGACCCACAGTTTATTAAACAGAGACCTTGAGAAACAGGACCAAAACCAGATATCCACCGGTGTGATCTAGACACAGAGTCACTTCATTAAATCATCAGCGCTGTTGACTTTGGTGAGTAAGGTTTCTATTACTCTCGCCTCCAACTAGTTTCTATTGCGGATCTATCTCGAACATCGGTTTCTGTTATGTCAACAACCAGTTTAATTTCATTTTCTTGTACCATAGAGTATTTAAAGTAGGAATATGAAAGAAAGAAAAAAAAAAAAAGGCACAAATAAAAAACTTCCCTTAGACCGACAACGCAGCAAACGCGGAGACCTCTTGGGGAACAGGTTGGTAGTTGCCTTTCAGAGCTCGGCACCCAGCCCCATCACCCTCGCTTCCCCGGGCCGTCTGCTTCCAAGGGTGGCTCCGACAGCCCTTTCCGTGCCCTCACACGCCTTACCCGCGCCTTGCAACGCCGGTGCCGCTCCGGGTCCGAGTACGTCCTATCCACGGCCAGCGCCGTGTCGCTGCCCGGCATGCTGCCTCACCGCCGCCGCCTCCCCCTCAGCGGTGCCCGCCAAGAGCCCGCGCACAGGTAAGGGTCCCGCCAGCCGCTCCGCTTCTCCTCAGCCGGCACACCCGCATTAACCCCCTCAGCGCTCCGGCTCCCGCCGCAAAGGGGGCGTCGTGGCGCCTAACGGTCGGGTGGTGAGGGAGTCGGGGCTGTGGTGTTTTCCCCCCGCCTTCGAAAAAGGGAGGACGCCTGAGGGGAAAAGAGAGTGGGAGCGAGCTTTAGCCAGAGGGAGTAGGCCATAAATTGCCTTTCTTTCTTTCTTTTTTTTTTTTTTTAAATTTTGAAGCTGGGGCAAGGATGATCTCCCAGAGGTATGGCTGGACAGAGGGGTGACAGTCCCATTCCTCCTGCAGACAGCCGCTGGTTTGGTTCAGCTCCAGCTCTTGGAGGGAGTTACCATCAAGCATCCGTCTCAACTGCTGTTAAAAGAAATCTAGACCCTCTGGCTACAGTGAAACCTCACAAAACATAACAGATCCTAGAAGTTCAGAAGTCCAGAGAGGAAAGAAAGGAAGAAACCAGAAGTATTAAGTATGTTGTCATTTTAGGGCAGACTCACTTGTAAGGTTTAGGCTGTTTGTGGTAGCATAAGGCAGCCTAGACACAGCTGAGTGCTGCTGCTGGAAAGCCCTTGGTACCTAGAGGTTTCCACAATAAACATGTTATAAAAATCCTGTCAAACCAACTAAGTAATCAGGGTCTGCATTTTCCAAAGTAGTCAGTGGAGCATCGCAACCAATTCAGTGCTCATTTCTGCCCATTACACGTATGAGATAAATCCTTCAGCATCCTAGCACAGGGGAGCTTCAAACCGTACTTGCGAACACCCAAAGAAAACTTTTTTTCCAGGGCATGCGTATGCCAATGCACTTAAATTCCTTAATTATTATTAAAAAATTGAAGTTGAGCAGAGTTCCTGACTGATTTTTGCATTTATCTTCAGAACACCTATGCTGCGGAATGCATTTAAATCAGTATCACTTAACACATTTTAAATCACTGAAAAGTGTGTAGAATACTGTTTTTTTTAATCACTCATTAAGCTGTACAGGAGATGTACTTTTTTCTTTTCTGGAATAAACAGAACAGTTGGGTTACCACTTCTACCTTGTTACACAAAGTAAATCTGGAGCTCCTTCAGACTGACTCCCTTGCAACAGCAGCAGGACTTCACCTTTTAGGTAGAGGTGTTACGATGGTCATGCATGAGTCACTCTGCTTTTCTTCTCTAGTTGGAGACAGCAACAGTCCCAAGGCACGTGCATATATAAACATACATAAATCAACACAGCTAACTATCCTGGGGGGGCTTGCAGCTTTTAAAAAATATTTCCCAGACACCATTTACATTTTTATTGGAATCTTCTGTTCTGAGATACCACTACTATCAGAGGTTAATTATCTGACACAAGGGCCTCCTTGGTGTTTTCCCACAATGAGGTCTTCAAACATGAATGACCTGAAATTCCAAAGTAGAAATAAATCCTAGACCTCATCTTCTTGGCAGGTGTTCCTTCTTCCACTCTAACACCAATTTTTACAAAGTTATCCCAAATTAAGTAGTGAGGGGGTTTACTAAGGGAAGCATTATTTGCCCAATATAACCAAACTAGCACAGGATACCTGCGCACAGGTGATGACTTGCCATCCTTCCTATGCTTCTTACGCAGCTGAATGAGATAGCTGAAGTTGGAAGGCTGCTGGGAAAAAGCTTTAAAACAGGAACTGGATTTCTTCAGTCCTTCAGCTCAGACATGAAAGCAAATTCATGACTCAAAATGTGCCAGAGGGTGGGGAACTCTGGAGGTAAAGGTCAGTAAGAAATTAAACAGGCAGGTGTTGTGGGTTTGGGGTTTTCACTGAAGTCATAATTGCACATTTCCAAAGGGGACTGTGCAGTTTCCAGCACCTAGGATGAAACATCCTTATTTCCTCAGAAACTTTTCAGGGTTTTTTTTAAGCCTTGCCAGGTGTAGTTGATCAAAGCATAGAGAGGGTAAGTAGTTGGAAAACAGGCACATAAAAGGGTTCAACTGCTTGGCTCTTTAGTTAATACAAGGCTTATTATAAATCATAGTTTATTCAAAAGTTTAAGAGTTTTATGTAAATAATATCAGCTTTATTTAAATAATACCAGCAGACTAACCACAAAATGATGAAACTTCTCTTCAAGATGAAAAGAGGCAGGGATGTGCAATATATACTTAGAGGTACATCATGTGTGGTTGGGCTCAGTAGTCTTAGCATACATACTAATATATTTACGGAGAAAGCACTCTCTCCTAATGCAACTGCGAAGAAGAGAGAATAATACGGTTAGTCTCATAAGACCTCGGTGTGGCATTAGTCACACCTTCCAATCAAACCTGCGGATCCGTTTGCTTGGGCGCTGCTCTCAGCGGTGGCAGTTACTGCCACGCACACCAGCAACAACAGCTCCCATGTCCTGCACCAGCAGCGAAAGCCCTGGCACCGGGCGGTCCCCGGAGGAGCTGTGACCACGGGGCAAGCAGGCTGGGCAACTAGGAACAACTGCGGCACACAGCAGCAAGTTATGGTGGAGCAGAAATATCTGCTTGGGTAGAGGCACCTGTCCCACAGAGCTCAGGAGAGCCCTTCCACACAAGCTGAACTAGGAGCTGTTGCCATCTCGGCAGTCTCTGCAGGTGCTGCGCTTTGCAAACATCTCAATAAACAGTTCTTTTCATATGTTGGAGTTAAACCATCTGTGACTTCAGAATGTAAGTTTGATGTACATCAAACGATGGTGCCACGCAATTCTCTGGCCAAAGGCTGCTCTTTTCCCCCTTTGTTTTTCCCCCTCACACATGTGCTGCTAGGTCCTTCCTGGCCTGTAGCAGGAGCAGAAAGACTGTTATCCTATGGCATGTTTGCGGAATACATTTCATTTTGCTTGGCTGAGCAAAGACAACTCCCCCTTCTCTCGCACACATAGCTGGTGTGTACAGCCCGCCTTCCCCACTCCAAAACAGAGAGATGACTCCCTGAACGGGGCAGAATACTGCACAGCACAGTACTTCTGACAGCCTCACCAGGTACTTCTCTCACACTGTTATTTTCAAAAGCCCCCAGAGTTTCAATAAATGCTCTTCCCACGCACTGCACCTACTCTCAGCTGAGCCTTCAATGCACTAAAGCAAATCCTTCCAGATATTGGCAGGAGCACGAGGCTGGACTCACGGTGACACAGATAGAAATAGTAGCCCATAGATGAATTCTCTCATCCTTTGTTCTTCTCACAAAGTATTTTTAAAATTCATTTCTATGGTTTAAATTAATGATAAAAGCCTTAAACCATCCCAGCCATCCATTGCGTTAATTTTAAAGTTCAAATACCTCAAAATCCCTCACTGACTGCCCAGCTGTCCTAAGAGGCACAGAGTAATTTCATCCTTTTCCAGTGCTTTCCCTCACTTCAGCATGCTGGCACAACCCACAATGCTTAACTCGTGACATTTACATTATATTGCCTACCTCTTTAAATTGACCTTTTAAAAAATAATGCCGAGTAGGAATGGAAGGTCTAGTTAGACTTAAGATCACTGTACAAGGGCGTACACTACTGTATTCAGCTTTCAGAGGGACAGACATCAATATTGGGTTTGCCTGCATTGCCCTGCTTTAGGAAAATCCAATCCCTGGAGGGGCAGCAGAGGCACTGCCCAAAGCAAGCCTGTCCGGTGGAGCCTGAGCTTTCTACAGGCGACTCCTCTCTCACTCTTCCCCGTGAAAGCTGCATCTGTGCCATCCATTTCCCGCTGCATGACCCCACAGAGCAGACACAGCAGTCCCACCTGCGAGACATGAATTATCTATACTGACTTATGTATAGGCCATGGAGGGAGCAGAAGCGGCAGTGGCGACAGTGGGATTACTTAGCAAAACCCAACTCCCACACAATGTCATCCCATAGATGGGGTCGTGCACACACACTGGGAAGTAAGCATCACAATAAAGGAAACCTTTATGGAGATGGAAGGCATGGAAATCCTATCATTAGGAGGCTGGCTTGAGGTTTGGCCCTGTTCTCTTTCCAGTTTTATCATGAATCTGGATCTTGGCGATTTACTTTACTTCTTTGGACTTCCACCTACCACATTTGTAAAAGGAGAAGCACAGCATATCTTTCTTCTGTGGAGAACCTTGAGCTCTCCGCAATGTTGTTATTATTAAATGCTGTGTTCTGATGTTTTTGGGAGAAATTAAACATACTGTGTCGAGTGTATATTTCAAAGGCACAATCAGGAAGAAGGCGAAGGTCCCTTTTTCCACAATGGTAGCATCTGTACTCTAAACAGGATACCGGGGCTTCTTACGAGAGACTTTTTAACATGCCCTCCAAATCTTTTTCCAAAAGCTTGTAGCAACCAGCCTCCAGGGAAAAGGTCTATGTGATGACAGACTTCCAGTGCCATTTCTAAATCTGACGGCAAATGGGACAGGGCTGAGTGACGTAGGTCTTGCAGTTATCTGTGAGCACGCTGTCACGGTTCTCAGTTTATCTGCCAAAGCATGAGCCTTTCACACCCACGGGAAAGGAGACACTCTGCTTGCCTGTTCCCAGCACAAACTACCACGGGATCACACTGAGACTTACAGATTGCGTTGCCAAGCTGTGACGTTCATTCAGAAGATGTTGATAAACATTCAGATATCCAAGTAAAATTTTAAATCAACTCCTCTCCTCCCCTTTCCTCTCCTCATTAAGAAATGTTTTATGTGCTTTCAGGATATAACAGCCACGGACACTGTGAGTACCCATTTTCTACACAGCAGAAAACTCCAAAACTAAGACTGTCATCGTGTATTAGTGAGATGCATTGATAGGGGGTGAAGGACAGAGAAGCAAGTGAAAAATTCCAGTTGAGGGTAACAGAAGTTCTCCCTCTTCTCCCTTTCCCCTGCCCACCTACTGTCCCTCTGTCCCTTGCTGTCTGATGAGA